TTATTTTTATTTATTTTTTATAAACTTTTTAATTTTTTAATATTTGTTTCTATTTATTTATTCAACCTTTATTAAATATTTTTATTTTTTACTTTACTTTTAGGGGCTCTGGGGAAATATTGAGGGTCTAACCCTGATATTTACTTTTTAAAATAGAAAAAGAGATTGAGTACACAGAATCCTCAATCTCTTTACCTGCAGCCCCTGTTATAAATGAACAGAAATCCTCTATACTGACTGTTTCTGTTCATTCATAACATGAGGACAGAGTGTGTTTACTATAACCCCAATCATGAATGAACAGGAGGTTCCCATTCATTCATAATTGTTCAAACAATCAGCGTACACTGATCACTGACTGCTTGTACCTCGCTCTCCTTCCTGACAGCTGACACATGAGGCTGGGCGGTGCAGTGAGGAGAGTTCAGCCTCCTATGACAGCACTGGCTTTCTCTGCCCACACCACTCTGACGATATGTGATAGGAGGCTGAGCGATGTGGGAGGAAAGACGCCGGCCGCTCACAGTGCCCTCCTCCCGCAGCGCTCGGCTGCCCCTGGGACACAGAGTAGCGCCCAGCGGGGAAGAAAGAAAGCAGAGATGCGCCACTGTATCAGCAGAAAAATTGCACTTTCAGCACTTAGCCAAAAGTGCCAATTTCAGCTGATATGTTTATATCGGTGCATCTTTAGTAAAAACCACATAATTGTTTTCTCCATCTTTGTTTAATTAGGGATATTTGCTTTTATCGTCTGTCCCATAGGCACAACAGTAAATTAAACAAAAGAGACAGAGCGCCCATCATGTGCAGTAATGGTTAATTTATTAAAAGTTTTTTAAAAACAAAAGGGCTTCTCACAAATGTAGCGGTATAAAAAGCGTTAGCATTGATCCGCTATTAGAAAGTGATCTCTATAAAGTCCAGACGAACATCCACAGTCCTCAGTCCGGGTTGATGGACACTGGCATCAGCTGTGGTAGAGGTGGTTGATGCATTTCCTGGGGCTCACCCCTTTCATCAGTTGTTGGCTGCTACTGGCGGAGGAACCTTTTTGTATTACAACAGTAAATGAGAAAAACCTCCTCAGCAACTTAAACTTGATAGGTTTTCAAACCTTTCCACACTCTATCCAAAACTAAATTTAAAAAAATGTTGGCACTCATTTATCAAATAGCCTTACTTTTTAGAAGAGCTCCATAAAAAATTATTATTAACCCCCGCTCTGCAAGGGTTAACTGTTTGTGTTGGTCTAGGGAGGAAAATAAAAAAGTTATACTCATCCAATACTCTGAGCCAGCCAGCTGTGTCAGCACTCCCTCCTGCCTGTCTCCTCCTCTGCTGCATTGAAGGAATGTCCCTTAGTGTCCTCACATCCTATACACTGTGTATAGAACGTGATAATTCAGGGACCTTAGGCTGTTGCAGTGGAGGGAGAGAGAGGGTGGAAGGACTGGTCTAAGAACAAGCCGGCTCAGGTGAGTATAACCTTTTTATTTTCCTCTCTAGTCTAACACGAGCAGTTAACTCTTGCAGTGCAGGGGTAGCCCCATTGCAAGGGTTAAAATGTTTTTTTCCTGGAGTTCTTTTTTAAAGATTCCTCCTGTAAAGGTTCCCAAGAGCTATTCTAGGCACCTCTAGATGGGAGGGCCCCAGGGCAGGCCAAATGAACACTAGTGGATTATACCTACCTAGAATTTCCCTTGAAGAATTTAGTCTATAGCCAGATAAAGGTAGACCTGTATCAACCTGTTCTGTGAGATGCTTGCTGGAAAGAGTGGCCTGTAAATGGTGAGAACAAACGTAATTGTAATTTGCAAAACAAGGAGGTCATCAAAACTAAAACCGTAAATATTTCCATAGACAAACATTTCCAGAGACAAAATCTGCCACATAAATAAGGAGTCATTTGGCAGCTATACCTGAGGTCAAAAGTTAAAATATGTAGTGGGAGATGTGATCATTTTGAATAAAAATGTTGCTTAGTGTATTTTTTCTATCACTGGATATGTGATATGCTAAAACTGATCAGAACTAACAGTAGAAAAAAAGGTGCAAATATCTAATAAATATTAATATTTGGTTGAAGTTTTCAGAATATGTTTAATATACTATTTTGTTTAATAGATGTCTCCGTCAGACCTTGAAATAAGTAAGATGCAACTACTGATGCCTCACCGACTCTCAGTTGAATACCCAGATCAGCCATTTCAGAGGCCGCGAGCAGTGAGTGCTGTCAGTGTCCTAACCAATGCCATGGAAGGTAAATACCCTTTTAATTTTGTAATGATATTTTCTTGATAGTGTAGCACAGATTTATTTATTTTAGCCATGTTTTTGCTATTTGTCATAATATAGCATTATTGTAAAACAAATGTTATGCTTGGTAAATTAAAGAAGAGTAGGTTGAATAGAATCAACCAGGGAATTTAGCATAAATAATATAGTATGGTAGAGTATCAGCGGGGTCAGGCTAAAGTTTTTTGGTCACCTTTAGAGGTGGTCTAGTGACTGGGCTGTCCCTATAATTAGACAGCCTGAAGCTGTTGCATCAGGTGACATCTCTTTGGGTCAAGTGGGGGGGTTGTCTGGCAGGCGGCATGGCCACTCTGCTGCGCAATGTTTGTAGTGTGCCTGCCGCCCCCTTTCTGGCCACAGTGTCCTAGGTTGCTAAGAGCCAGGTGGGGAGGTGTGTAAGGGCATCCCATGGAACTCCTGGCAACCAGTAACGTTGCCAGGAGCTGGGCAGGAAGCTGGCCAGAGCCGGAACCAGAGCTGGGCAGGGAGATGATGCAGCCACCACAGGAGGTGAAAAAGCTAGGGACACCCCTTTCTAGCAGTCCTTGCACTATGATGCTTTGGTTACTTGGTATTCCAGTAATCCCTGCTCTTGCATAAAGTAATAACCTAGCTTCACTGGGAGAAATATTGAAGCAATGGTTGGTATGGTAGGATGGTAGTTCTTTAGTAATTAAGGTTGTTGCATTTTTATTGTTTCAATTATCATATTTAAGAAAAAGTGCTATCAAAGGAACTTTAAATAATTGGTTCAGATTGAAGACGAGTCATGCATATACATTTGTCTGTGATTCAGGCAGTCTGGATCAAATCTGTAATGTATCAGATTTGATTAATATGTAATTAATCTCCCCTCTCTTCTTTGGGCTTTGGGCACCACTTTGGGCAGTGAAAGCAGTTAAAGGAGAACTATGGGGTTCTATCTTTTCTTTATTAATGCATTCCTTAGGCTAAATAAGTAAATTATGTAATTTACTCTAATTAGCCAAAATGCACAATAAGGCTGTAAAACCTAATTTAAGGTGGTGGGCTGGGGCTAAGCGCCGCAATGAGGAGACATCCCGACGTGTCTGACGGGATCCTCCCCACTGATCTTCCTCACTGTGACTGACAGTGATTCTTGAGAGCTGCTGCGCGTCCACGAATATATGGACATGCGCAGCAGCTCTCTTCTTATCTGCACGTCCCCGTGTGCCAGCCTTCAAGACAGCTGCTGTGTAGCTCTTGATCCCCTCCCTCCTCCTCATCTGTCCCGCCTACTTCACGACACGTGTAGTGTACAGCACAGTCAGTCCATATATGGTGAATGATGTCACTGGGTATCCCTGCAGACTGGCAAGCATCCGATCAGCAGGGATCCCCAGTGACATCATTCATCATATATGCATTGGCCATACGTGGTAAATGCTGAAGAGAGAGAGAGGGCTCCTTCCCCTCTCTCTCCCTGCCATGTGTGACAGCAGCCTTGGCGGCCTTATCGAGCAGCAGCAGGAGGAGCGGGTCCAGATCCCCACAGCTACGTTCAGGTGGTGGAGGAAGCCGGGATCCGTAAGTGCGGTCTGGCAGAAGAGCCGGCCGAGACCCTGAAACGCCGTCGGATAGCATAGGAGGCTGGGAAACAGAAGCGCTGACAGAAGTCATTTTCATACTGAAATGACCATGGATCGCTGATGACAGAGGGGAAGGAGCCCTCTCTCTCTCTCTCTCTTCAGCATTTACTACAAATGGGAAAGTCCATATATGGTAAATGATGTCACTGGAGATCCCTGCTGATCGGATGCTTGCCAGTCTGCAGGGATTCCCATTGACATAATTCACCATATATGGACTTGCCCATTTGTAGTAAATGCTGAAGAGAGAGAGAGGGCTCCTTCCCCTCTCTCATCAGCGATCCCCAGTAAATTGAGGATGTCAGCGTCACTCAGGGGAGAGAGAGAGAGGGGAAGGAGCCTTCTCTCTCTCTTCATCATTTACCACGTATGGCCAATGCATATATGATGAATGATGTCACTGGGGATCCCTGCTGATCGGATGCTTGCCAGTCTGCAGGGATACCCAGTGACATCATTCACCATATATGGACTTGCCGATTTCTCGTAAATGATGAAGAGAGAGGGATGGCTCTTTATCCCCTCTCTCTCTGCCCCTATGTTATGCTGACACCCTAATTACTGGGGATCGCTGATGAGAGAGGGGAAAGAGCACTGAATTAGCAGGGAGGCTGAGTCCGTTTTTTTCATACCATCTCTTGCAGCAGCCTTCTCACTTCAGACTCCGCCTCCCGATCACACATGCCAGCGTGCACGAGCTGGCATTTCACAGCTGTGCACGATGAGAGGAAGCGCGGCCACAGCAATGAGATGAGTTGAAAAAAAAGCCGTGGGCGGGCTGGATCAAATGTTAACGCCCCCTAAGAGAAACGGAGCTTGGAGCTGGGTTGAAGACGGCCATTTACTACAGGTTTTGAGGGTTTTATCTGTGATGTGCTGCGCCTTTAGAAAAAAGGAACGATGCTACTACAATCAAGGTAAGGGGTATTTTGCTATAACACAAGCATTTTCTCACTTATTAAAATATAATATTATTGTGGTGCACTTAAGCTGCACAAGTTACCAGCCTGAAGTGAATAGCCGAACAGTGTTCGGCTCACTTCACTTCTGATCGGTCATTCACTCGGCTGCATTCGGCAGCTTTGTGAATAGACCCCTTTAAATTGTCACCAGAACAAGAATGGAGGGGAGATCATCCAATAAGAACATTTGCTCCAATGACAATTGACTGACAGGAGATTCTGTTTACTTTGGGAGATTTATTATTACTTCCTATTGTGTCTACAGGACAGTGAAGGTAAATTTGCCCAATGGGACATGCAAAAGAAAAAAATACAGTGGTTTTAGCCATCCCCTCCCAAAGCAAAAAATTAATAAAAATGGTATAGGAATGGCTGCTTGTTTAAGTAGGTGCTGCACAACTTCACATTTTTTATGTACTGTATTATCAGATTTGAATATTAAGGTTGTGACAAATGTCCTAGTATTTGCACTTTCATTCTTCAGGATTTTTTCTACACAATAGAAATCAAGGGTGGAGTGTTTGGGAATAACACACAGAAGCAAAAGGGGTTTTCAGATAACCATATTACTGAATGGGGTGGCCCAGTGAACTGCAGCAATAAAAAACTAAAGCCTTTGGCTTGTAGGCTGTATACCTTGTATGCATCCTAAAGGTGCCCATACACTTATCGATTATCGTTCGGAAATCATCCACGAATGGTCTTTCGTACGATAATCCATCAGTTAATGGGAACCCAAGGACTTTTTTACTGTACTCCTGGCCGAATTTTCTCAAAGGGTGAGGCTGGAAAACTTTTGTCGAATCAAATAAAAATCGATGGATTAGTGGTGTTTTCTTACGTAATGCGCACACAAAAACCTGTTCTGTCGATCGGCGAAATTCGGTGAGTTAGTATTGCTAATGAACGATTATCGAAGTCGACATTGGTCTGTGCATGATGGGCTATTTGAGGTAGAATCGAACAAGGGTTCTTGGCAGCAACAAAAATTTCAGATCGAAAATCTATAGGTTTATGACCAACTTAAGGCTTAATTTCTCATTTTGAAAAGAGTGAACTTATATGGTTAATTTGTCAATCTTGTTCACAACATTTAAATTGCCATGATCAGCATAATGCTTTTTTATTATGCAAATAAAGAACATTGCTACCTAGTGTAGTGAAAGAAACATATTACAATATTTTTACACACATGAAAGGAAAAGAATGAGAAGTGTTGCCATTTGCTAAGCATTGTTAAATGGTGACATCATCTTTTGTTTCTTTATCGTTGTGCTTTGTATGTTTCTTTTCCGTTTATTTTCATGTGCTACAGTGTTGTCCTTTAGTTTTGTTTCCTAGGAATACTGTATACAATTTGTAACTGTATCCTGCATAAATTTCTCAAACGTTAGTTGAATGGAAAAATACGATTAGGCTTCCAAGGACGAATGTTAAATGTTTCTAGAGAATGGGTCCATTTGTTTTCAATGGGCCTACCTGATACTAAGAAAAACATAAGTAATCCCAATTTGCTATAAAAGTGAATAGCAGAATTTCAAAAGCATTCACCACAGGAAATGTCAGCTCTCTCCAATGTTTATTTGAAAAGGAAGCTCCTGTTCACTTTGAATAGCTAATTATGTGCAGATGCTTTTCACATGAGTGGATAATTGAAGTGAGTATTCACACAATTTTTTGAGTGAATATTCTCAACTTTTTGTTGTTTAAAACTGGCAGTACGCCAGTAGAATTATGTTTACAAAAATTTGCTTTAAGAACAGTTTATTTTTTTAAATAGTTCATGGGGTCAACCAATGATCAGTTGTGATCGTAGTGACAAAAAGTAATCAAAGGAGCAGGATGGACTTAATTTTTACTTATTAGAAAGATATGGTAATTGAAATGTTTAAGAATTAACTCTGTTATATTTCTAGTCTAAAAGGGCTTAACCTTTTCCAGGCTGGTGACACAGTTCAGCATTCAGAGAATGCCAAACTGGTGGAACAGCCCATTTCATGCAGAGCTCCTGGCCATCTGGTCATAAGATGTGTAATGTCAGCAATATCTCTCCTGCATCCAAATACAGTATCTGGCTTTTTGACATTTTAAGACTCCAGAGGCAGTGACAAGAAAGCAAAGAAACACATATTTAAGATTAAAAAAAAAGCTTAACTGCATTTGTAAATAACTAAAATTTGTACTAGAAATGTTATTTTGCCTTCATTTCCAAGAAAAAACCAGTATAAAATATGTGTCACTTCTGTATACTTTTAGGAATGTTTTGGGTCACTTAATGAGCACGCAGCTAAATTGGAAAATTATTGTGAATGGCAGCCTGTTAAACACACTCCCCTGATTAAACACTTTCCCCCCACAAATGTAACAAGCCTATGAAATCTTATTGGAACATG